AAATTCTAGAATCCGCCCTAGTGGGGTCTAAGACAACGTTATCAAGAATTGCAAGAAAGCTCGAAATACAGTCGAAGTCTGAATCCCTCAAATCCCTTCTTAGACCCAAGTTCCACCCAATCCCAGAAGTGGAAGAGGACGGGGTAGTGAAAGACGAGATCGGCTCATTTTTCAAATCAGAAAGAGCGTACAGAGACAGAAACTGATCCTTTCAAGATATTCTGAATGTCTTTCAGGCATTTTATGATAATGCTTTGCTTCAAAGGAGTTTAAACACTACTTTTATTACCCTTATTCCAAAAATTGAAAGGGTAGTGAATGTTAAAGATTTCAGACTAATCAGCCTTCTACACAGTTTTTATAAAATCCTAGCCAAAGTTCTTGCTGAGAGAATGAAAGAGGTATTAGGAAGTGTTATCTCAAACAATCAAAGTGCTTTTGTCCCAGGGAGGCAAATGCTTGATTCAGTTCTTATTGCTAATGAGCTGATTCACTCAAGAAGAAGAGAGGGTGTCCCAGGTTTGATTTGCAAACTTGATCTTGAGAAGGCTTTATGATCATGTTAACTAAAGGTGTGTTGATCTTGTGTTGCAGCATATGAATTTTGGGCAGAAATGGAGAAACTGGATTAAAGTGTGATTAACCTCACCCAAATTTTCAGTTTTGATTAATGGGCAGTTTGCAGGATTTTTTGATAGCTCCAGGGGTCTTAGACAAGGTGACCCCCTGTMCCCCTTGCTCTTTATTTGTATCATGGAAATCCTTACTCTGTTTTGTATGAAGGTCGTTGAGTCTGGTGAGTGGGAAGGTTTTGCAATTGCTCCTAAGGGGGAGAAGGTTAATATTCTCCAATTTGCAGATGAAACTTTATGTTTTGTGGATGCTTCTCCTTCTCATATTGATTTGGTCCTTGGGATTTTAACTTGGTTTGAGGTGATCTCTAGGCTCAAAGTCAATTGGAATAAAAGTCAAATCATTCCAATGGGTCAAGTAACCAACATATGTGCAGAGGTCCTGGCTTGTCAGATTGAATCCCTTCCAGTGAAATATTTCGGTTTGCCTCTAGGGGTAAATTGTTTGGCTTCCTCGATTTGGTATCCGATTATTCAAAGAATGGAGAGAAAATTTGCATCTTGGAAGGCAAGATATCTTTCTTTCAGGGGTAAGGTTACTTTGATAAAGAGTACCCTATCTAATTTACCTACTTATTTCCTCTCTCTTTTTCCTATCCCAAATGAAGTAGCAAGAAGACTAGAGAAGCTTCAAAGGAATTTTCTTTGGAGGGGTTGGGAAGAAGAACAAAGAATTCACCTTGTCCATTGGGACCAAGTTTGTCTCCCTAAGGCTGAAAGTGGTTTAGAAATAAGGAAGTTGAAGAGCTTTAATTCTTCCCTCCTTTGTAAGTGGATCTGGAGGTTCTCGGCTGAAAGTAACGCTTGGTGGAGATCCCTCATAGCTGGTAAATATGGAGTGGAGTGGGGTAATTGGAGATATAGGGATCCTCCACCAAGTTGGGGAAATCCTCTATAGAAAGGTATAATGAAGAATTTTTCTGTCCTAGTGGAAGGGATTTCAGTTAAGGTTGGTAAAGGGAATAGAACTAAATTTTGGAAGGATCCTTGGTGCTTGGATGGTTCCCTTGCTGAGTATTTTCCTCTTCGTTTTCAATGTGCCTCTAACCAAGAAGCATATGTAGCAGAGATAGCTTGGCTGGAG